AGGTTGATATGAAACAAGTGGAATCATGAGCAGTCGTCATTCAGCCATCACTATCAAGCAGAAGTGGCGGCAGGATTGGAGAACACCTTGCAGTATTGATCGGGCACTTGTGATTTCCGTGACCCGTCGCGTGAATCGCGCAAATCGCGAAAATCAGCGAAACCTGCGACGGATCGCGGACTCTGACACCAGCCTAACGATTTGCTCCATTAATTTGCTCTTGTCGTTCATGTTTTTTTTGTTTCTTATGCGTTCAGTCTTAGTTCAACTTGTTGTTTTGTTAATGGTCACTCGAAAGCAATTCATAAAATTTAAAACACGGGTTTCCTTTCAGGTGGAAGCATTCTATAAAAAACATCACAATGGCAGGAAGTTGAACTGGATGCACCATTGGAGTAGTGGAACTGTGAGTTCTATTTAGTTTCATTTTTCGTGCATCTTTTTATCATGGAGATTCTAGCGCGGTACATTCTCTCCGGGTTATGTTGTGACAGACAGCCAGCTTAAAGCATGCCGTCTCAATTATTTGATCCGTTTAATTACATTCTCTTTCGGTACAAACCATTTAAATTTAAGCTTGCTACTTTATGTGATCGGCATTCGAAGAACAACAAAGAATGTAATTTCTTGGAAAGAATCTGAAGAGTGCAATTTTAAAGCTGTGTAAAAACAAGAAGAGCCAGTTCATTTTGGAATATAATCCTTTCTAACAGAGAATACCGCTTCATCTTTACTATTTCCCTTTACACTCATGACAGAAAGAAGAAGATCAACATTTACTCGAACAGTAGTGTGAACGTGTGAACGGTAGTGGCGCTCTTACATCCTGATGGAATGAGGGTGTAGAAAGACTTGGCTCAGTTCGATTACTGGATTGGTTCTGGAGTAATTCATCTCGCTTCTCTAGGCCTGTAGTTAAAAATTTGTATTACAGATAATTTTTGGCACGGCGTCTGGTGGGCGATTCGACTTGGAGTTGACAACGTTCCAAATGGCCGTTTTGTTTTCATGGAACGATCGTGCTCATGAAAAGATTTCTTTTGAATCACTTCGATTGGCAACCGAGCTACCTGACACGGAGTTGGCCAGAACACTCTTCGTACGTTGTGTAGTCCTTTTTCATTCCCTCTTAGCGTTTCTAATGGATCTCTGTTCATTGACGATTCTTCTTAGGACACAGGCGCTTCAGTTTTTCAGTTTCGTTTTGATTTTGTGTAGTTTGTTTTGAAGACCCTGTTGAAGCTTTGATGAACAGTCTACTTCTCAAAGCTCAATAACTGGCTCAACAGCTATGCTTACTTGGTCCATTTTCAGTCTTTGGTTGCTTACCCAAAAATGAAGTACCAACTTCTGCTATGCGACGCCCCAACCCCTTTGAATCCACGTGATTTCACGGACTCAACTTTATTCTACATCAACCACGATTTCCGATTAATTAAGGTATAATTCAGCGTTGGTGATTGTTGGAAAGAAAACTCTCCAAATATGAACTTGTTTTCAGAATGGCAAAGAACAACATCGAGGAAGGATTAATTTGATAGGCCGGTTACAGTTGTCGATGGAGTCGTCCGCCACGAAAGAACACGAGGATATAGTGGCACTGAGGGAGCTGC